AAAACTATGATTTCTACAATAAGCCTTGTTAGACAACGTAGCAGTAATACTATGGAAGACTATGTATCGATAAGACAATTAATCCTGTGCCCACAACTAGTACTCAACTGCTTACAATCAATAATGGTTATTTTTATGTCTGATCAATCACTTTCATGGTATACTGTAATACCAGTTGTTAAATTTATGCTATAAATAAAGCCCTTCTTCCCACATAGATAGTAATTATATTCGATGATTGCAGACAACCTGTATGAAGTCTTCACTCTAGCCTTCGTATTTGTTGGCACTCATCAGTAGGGCATATTTGCAGACTAGATGGAAATATTACCCAGTGCTGTAGTCTCAAATAAGTTACCCCTAAGCTATTCAGACTCTTAACTGATATTCTTTAGGACTGCAATGGATATATTGATTAATCATTTGGGAAGGAAGTAATGTCGTATGCCTTATCCCTTAGTTTTGGTGCTTAAATAAAGTAAACTGACGCAACGTGAATAACTGCCTGATATTCCCTGGTGAAGAACCTCCAGAGTCCACTTCATACTATTAGTTTCTTTTACCCAGTCGTCATTTTATCTAGTGGTAGTACTAATAGTACAGACTATTATGGTGTAGTCATTAATATTAATATTATATTACATGGTCGCATTTAAATTTCTCATAAAAGATTTAGCTCAAAAGCACTTAATAGCTTGTGAATCGACTGCACTTTCACCATGTTACAAGTACAAAGAACTAATTAACACTTATTGCTTGTAATGTACTTGAAAACGAAAATGTGAGCTGCTTTTTTTTCTATGCTGCTTACAAATAATTAGTTTAAATTAACATATTAAATAATCAATACATGTATAATTTTAAAAACTCCCATTATACGAATTCAGGGTGTAAGAATAATTAGTGCATGTGTGTACTGTAGAAAAGCGCTATAGAGCTACATCTCGGATTTCACATGGTTTAATTAATAAGACTGTTTACAAGACTAGAGAGAGAACTCGTTACATGGTAATGCAATGTTGAAAAGGCAGTAGACCATAGTAAACTTTGCTCAGTTATGTCATGTTTGATAAATAAACTTATTTTTTCGATGACACGGTAGCAAACACTTAAAATGCATATTCAAGATCGACGCTGGACCACTACTGTAGCATATTTTGAAAATGTCTCTGTAAAAAACGTGTCTTAGTGGTTAACTGCAATTTTACTGACGTCTCGCTATTTAATGCTAATAGCTTCATCAAAGTATTATTAAACCAGAATGTACAAACTAGAATTTACAAAATCTCAGCTTATATATAGTAACTTAATCATCGTTCATCAATAGGGAGTCACTTTTGCGTTGTCAAGTTGGCCAGCTGGTAAAGATAACAAAAGCAGGTGTGGGTTTTTGGATTTGATAAGTGTATAAAATAATAATAAAAGCAACATGTGTAACCATAATGAAATTGCTTATCTTATTTGTGTTGATTTTGTCACTTCATAGAGGAGGGTGGGGGTGTTGTAACCAGGTTAAATTCTGTTTAAGTCCATCATTCCTATTTGGAAAATTTGGGATTTCTGAAACTTGTAAATTCTGTTAATTCTGGTTTATTAATACTTCGATGAAGCTATTAGCATTAAGTAGCGAAATGTCAGTAAAAACAATATCGTTTTGTTTTTCATTCATTGGGCAATACAAAAACCTTTATTAGTTATTTTTACATTGAATTATAGACTAACAGAGCGCTTTAGCCCTACCCTAGCATATTTCTCACTGAGCTTCTAATACTAATCGTATCTGTGTAATAAACTAGTATCCTTAAGGACAAGTCTTGAAGAATCGTCTTGATTAACATTTTATTTGTATACTATTTGTTAAAACTGATAAAAAATGCGTCTGAATTACAGCGGGGATTCAAATTCAATTTTTTTGCTAGAAAATGCGTCAAGCCTATATGTACTAAAAACATTTTAGTGTACAACCAACCAGGTACATCGTTTGTCATACGCACTGAACTGAATGGATAGGAAGCCCTGGACACAGGTCTCATCCTTGTGTGGTACCATTTTATGACATCATTCCTTAGAAAGAATTCATGCTGACTTATATTGCCTACCTGAATTATTGAATTTTTAATTGTACTCATTAGAATTATTTACTTTAAACAAGAAAATGTAATATTTTAAAAGTATTGGATGTCATACTTTTTAATCTAATACAATGACAAGTGACTCAGATTATTATCTGAATCATGTCCACTGGATTCCACTGCTAGTCACCATCCACCAATTAACTTCTTATTACCAGACAGGCTAAAACGAGATCTCAAAGAACAAAGTGATACGGAAATGTGCTGCTAAGGTCCTATGTTCAGCTTGGAACTCAAAGGGAATACGAATGATCAATAGGCAATGAATTTATGTTTATACAGTTACCATGATGACTTAGGTTGTTGGAAATTTTGACCCAATCACCTTCCGATTCAGTGCCATAACTAAATGATGACCTCTGTCTGTAGATCCCTGCCTGAATATATTCGCATAAGTCTGGCATTCTTAGGCTGCATTAAATATATATCCTTCAATTATTGATTAGTACTAGCAAGGAGACTTTATTTCCTTAATGAGATATACAAGGTTGAGTTGATTACAGCCAGTTTTGGACTTTATAAAACTATGTATTTATCTCATTTTCTTAATAGTTCACACCGCTATAAATCCTTCGAAGATTATGGGAAAATGAATTTGAAAACATACGGTGTTTCTATACAATAGTCTCGGTGAACACTGTACCACAAGCGTGTGAACACATTTCATTCAAAACAAGCAATAAAGGTTAATAAAGCAGGATTTAATGAATTCATCAAATTTCGGTAGAACTCGTCAGCTGAATACTCTACATACACGGATATATATACTTTTGAAATTACACTGGGAGATATAAGACTGATAAGTGAACAAACTACATTGAATTAGTCATGCAGAAAGACAGGTGCGAATGTTTTCCAGGTCATGTTCAAATAGATAAGGGGAGAGAGAGTATGAGAGATCAAAATTAAGATAAATTGCATTACGCTTCAATTACATCACTTAGATAAACAATTAGACATTAGAGAATATAACAAGAATTGCAACCAGAGTGATGTCAATAGTAATAGTTATAATAACAATAATAATAATAGTGTTGAAGTGAGTTAAGATAATCCTACTGATAAAGGATAGTTTTAAATGAATCAAGAATAATAAGAGGTAGAATAATAAGTAAAACGTATTACCATGGTAGATTCAGAGTCACGACCATCTCCTTTTGTACACAGAGACCTGGTTTGTAAACTCGAATTGCACAAGCCTCTGCAATTGCAAGCATCTTCTTGTTTCTTTGTCTGCTGACAATAGTGAATGACTTGACAGCGTCGATATCATGTCCGTAATCCACAAGATGTTTTGTTATTGAGGATTTTGGCACTTTGCACTCAGCTGTTTTCATTCATTATCAAGCAAATAGTAAATCGTCTTTCATAGGAAATTTTAGTGAGATGTCACTGCGAGTCACGTAAACTGCTAACACCATACTTCACCATTCTTTTCAGGTAGCTATCAAGAAGTGTATTAGCTTGAAACATAGGGGTTTATGATTTCAATCTCAAACCACCAAATGGTTTGCCGGGATTGATACGAAGCAGATACAACTTAATAACATTCCCCACTGATTTGATTGGCTATTAATAACTCTCATTCATGAATACATGCTGCATATTATTATCGATTCTGTAACAATGCGAATAGCCTATGAGGTAGTGGAAAATAAGTGGAGATATGTGATACTTTCCTTAGGTAAACAGTGGTCGAGAAAAAGTACTGAAGTTAGCAGTTATTTCATTTGAACTGTGTACAGTAACACTTCTTAAGACGAATTATAGGCATATTTACCTGCCACGATGGTCTTTCGAGTCATTCACAGTATGTATAAGCTTAGTTAGTTGCCTCATACATTTGATAACATCCTAATCCCCCTAATCTACCACATTATAAAATAAACTTCACTATAGTACTTATTTGAGATAACAGTGTAACCCTTTTTAATCATGTCATTGTCATCTTATTGTATTTTATTAATAACACTTATTTCCCAATGTACTTTATCTTATACTGATTTTATTCAAATGTCTAATCATCAATTTTTACTCATGTATATAAACGAAGCAAGAAAGTTGTGTGAGTGCCTTGATATGATTATGAGCAATAATTTGCGCTCGAAACGTGATAATAATAATAATAATAGTAAATAATACTGTTGTATAACACTGTGTGATTTTATCAAAATAAAATTTTATCCCGTAAGAATCACTTTGATATCTGTTGGAAGGTTAAACTTCCTAGTGTGTGGATGACGTAACATGAACTATTACACGAGATATTACATAACTTTTCATTACAACGTTATCGATTTAAATAAGCAAGGGTTTTCAGGTGTTTGAGGTGAATGTGAGATAATCATGTAAATTAATGGACAATTGAAAACTGTTAAAATCATTGATTTGTAATAATCTTCTTCAATGCCCTGTTCAACAAGACAGACAGATTGTTATAAAATCGTTAGTATACAGTCATACTTTTGATGTTTTGATTTTAGTTATTTCCTTGCGTTTGTGGTCTTCACAAGATAAGACACTTGATAAGTATATTACATAATCGGGTGCATTTTACTTTGAATCAGACTTTTATTTTGCACAGTTATTTATGTGTGAATAATCCTTAACTTTCACGGTGTTTAAACCTCACGCTTATCACATTTATGTAGATGATTAACTCTGCGTTTGTGTGATAGTGCCAAAATAATTATTTTAGAACATTTTTTCTTTCATTTTTCAACCATCAAGCATTTCACTGAGTGTATAGTATATCTGTATTATTTGTTTCAGAATGACAAGCAAAGTAGTTACGAAAATTATTCATCCTTTTATGTATAAACATAAAGTTTTGTAAGACTGACTCTATTTTGAATAAAATACACTGAGGAGGTTGAGATAGTTCCTTTACTTCTGCCAATTGACTTCTGTTGTACATTCTGCCCAAAGTCTCACATATAAAGCGAAAGAAGCTTCTTAAGTGTTAGATTGAGGCGTTGAGGTTAGGCATCGGTCGAGTACGAGGTTGTGAAGCTGCACCAACTGAGATGGTTAGGAAATGTGTTACTTATACCTAGGCACCGTCTTCCTCGACAGACAAGCAATGTTAGCTGATATAGGATCAGTTTGGAAAAGAGAGAGCGGTGGTCGAAACACCGCTTCATCAGTCAATGAAATGCACAACAGTTAGTTTTAGCCAGATAGCATCGTAGGGAGTTATAGACTGCCTGAATGGTTGGGGTCCCCATGATGGTAAGAACCAATGACGGCTGGAGACAATTATTGATGTGGCTCGAAACAGTTCTCAGTGGGTGACGCAGATGCAATCACTCTCTGAAAATAATTGTATCCAACAAAATCCTACTCTTCTTCCGTATTACCATTCTTTTTGCCTCATATTTCTGTTTATTATCTCTCCTTTGAATCTCTCTTTACTCTCTTCTCTTGCTTTGTGTGCTAAATGGAGTGTGAGAACTCGAACTGCTGCACATCTGCGCAAAGTTCTACGTTGAAACCAGTCAGTCAGTCACTCAGTCAGACTGAGGTGTTTTATAAATGCATAAAGTCATTGTTAACAATAGACCGGATAACTGTTTGAAACTTGTGGCGAAGATTTTAAACCACTAAGTCTTAAATTGACTAGCAGCGAATAATTTTTTTTCTATGCTGTCAGTATTACTAACTGTCTGTGCTGTTTCTTGTCATCCTTTCTTCTGTTGCTATCATTACTGCCCAGATTATGAGTTTAGTCACCGTTGTCTTCATTTCTTCTTGTGGTGGTTTGTTGTTTGTGAATCACATTTTTAAGTAAGTAAACACTCTATTTCACCAGACTATTAGTTTTATCTATCAATAATCATGAAACCTCATTCTTCCAGTGTTTTATCAACCAATTTTATAGCTTTAATAATTAAAAAAATGTTACAGATTTCTAACAGAACTACCATTTTGTTTATTTACCATGTGACTCTTATTTACATAGTGATTAACTAAGGTCAGGAAAGATGTCATATTTTAAAATGACTTAGATAACTAATCAATAAAATAAATGATAAACCAACTCAAATCAATTGTGATCACTTGTTTTTTCATCTTTCTTTAGATGAGCATAAGACAACTAAATATCACTATGATAGTAATGAACACTACAGGACTTTATTTTACGAATTCAATTCTATCATGAAACAATTTGATTTTGAATTAGTTGTGTTCTCTGAGATGGTTGATTTAATTGCGAAGCTTTCGTCGTCCTTCTAGACAACATCCCCCTTCAGCGCATGTTCTAGTATAAAATGAACTCATTTAAATTCTCCATGAATGATGTAATTGTATCTCCTGGCGACTAACATCGTGACTGGTTGTTAATTTACGTCTCTATTGATCATTTTGATTGACTTGGAATTCGAACTTTCTTGTCATGCGATTTGTACTTTATTAGTTGGTAAATTCGGTCTACAGTAATATGTTTGTTAATCGCTGGCTGATTCACTTGAGTACCAGGCTTCTAGGAATTCCCTGATTGTAGTTTTGGCGTTTCCTCTGTTTAAAATTTCTACATTATCCCAATAAAATTGGTGTCCACAATTATCTGCATGCACAGATATAAAAAGAATATATATCATGTCTTTGTGTTCTTGGATTCGCATTCGAAGGGGACGCCCACTTTGACAAAATTTACCAACTAATATAAAATTAAATCACATGACAAGAGAGTGTGAATTGCAAGTCCAGCAAAATGACCAATAGAGACGTGAATTAACGAACAATTACGACTATGATTGTCAGGGGATACAATTAAATCATTCATGAAGGATTTAAATGAGTTCATTTTATACTCAAACCTGCTCTGAAAATATTGTCTAGAAGGACAACGAAAGCTTCGTAGTTAAATCAACCATCTCGGAGAACACAATTAGTTCAATATCATCCACCTGAGCTACAAATCTCCAATATTTCAGATAATTTGATTAATCTTTCTTCAGTATTATGGAAGAAATTTGTGTCACGATTTGGTATTGAAAGCTAAGTCTCAGTTAATTTGCCTTTTACATAAAAAGATTCAGTGTTTAGAAGTACATTTTCTTGTAATAGTGTTTCTGATTCCGTCTAAGAGTTGTTTTTACTGTTTCTGATCGAATTACAAATGCCATCTTAAAATGCTATCATAAATTGCTCAACTACTTAGTATATTCTATTCTACATAAAATTCTTCAGCATAGAGACTTTTAACACAATAAACAAAATGCCACAAGTGACACTGAGAAATAAAGTTCATTGCTGTGTTTCTCTTATTCTGGACACAATCTAGTGTTCATCCACTATCTCACTAGGAATGGGACTTAAAACCTTCAACCTACAATAGTAGCACATTGACCATGCATCCACTGAGTTAGAATTCATCATCAACGCCATGAATCCTAACTTCTGTCAGTTCGTGCAATCCTGAAGAGTTTCAGACTGGGACAAAACAGTCATTCAGTAATCCTTAGTTGGTATCTAAAATAAAATTAATCAAAACCTCTACAAGATCTAAAATCGATATATTATCTAGTCTTGTTTGTTAGATTTCAGAAATCAGAGGGCACACATTTTCTTGCACTTAATGGTACCTTAAATCTAAGAGTCATACGGCTTTCGGGGATTTTAATATACAGTTATTTGAGTCTGTATTTTAGTTTTCATTTTTGTGTGAGTTTCAATGCTGTTTTGTTAAGGTTTTAAGTTTACCGATATTCTGACTTTGTGTTATTTTGCATAAGTCATGAGTCTATTTTATTTCAAAATTAAGTTCTCAGATTAGTAATCATAAAGATCTGTTGATCTACATTGGTCACTTCTTTCCATTAGTTGGAGGCTTAGTTAATAAGCTTTTAGTTGAATAAAATAATGGGCCGGATTCGACTTCTAAACCTTTCCTTATTTAGTGACTGTTAGTTAGTCATGAAACTTCAAAAGATTGGGGACGTTCCACTCGGAATGCAAGAAAATGAAAAAAAGATAATGCCAGAAGGGAGTTAATGAAATTCCGTCCGATGGTGAATAAAATGACCTAATCTTCTACAATTCACTAGTCTAGAGATCACTGTCTCAACTACAGGAGGAACGGACAAGGATATCAAATAGAGAATCGGGAAGGCGAGAAACACATTCACCAACCTGAAACCAATCTGGAAATCTTCGTCACTCAGCATCAACAACAAAATTCCGATTTTCAATAGAAACGTCAAGTCAGTCAATTCTTCTATACGGATCAGAAACTTGGTGGCGGGTCACAAAGAATATTTCCAACAGCCTGTTGCAGACCTTTATCAACGACTGTCTTCGCTGGCTCTATACTGAAGATCAGATGGCCGGAAAGAACAAGAACCAAGAAGAAACTATGGGAACAAACAAAACAAGAACCAATCGCCCAACAAATATGCAGGAGAAAGTGGAGATGGATTGGACACTCGGTGAGGAGGCCGCTGGGTGACATTGCGCATCTGGCCAGTGCTCGAGTGGAATCAGAAAGGGAAGCGGCGAGTGGGACGTCCAAGGGTAATATGGAGGAGATCATGTGAAGAAGAGTTGAAACAGTATGGATTAACATGGACGCAGGTGAAAAGTACAACAGAAGACAGAAACAAGTGGAGACGTGCAGTTGAAGCCCTATGTCGCACTAGAAACCCAAAGGAACAATAGTAAATAATAATAATAATAACAATCTTCTACAATTCAACTGATAATTCCTTCACATCTTTGAATAATGCTTCAAAATTATTTGCTTTTAGAAATTAATAAAATTCACTGAAACAATTTGATAATGTTAAGATAAGGTAATATGAAGTAATAATAGATTTATAGCTGTACACGTGTGCTTACTCTTATCATACTTTACTATCTATCTACATTACTATATTTGCTGACTATGGAAATCAGCGTGTTGCTAAGTTATATTATAAGCACTAAGTAATATATGGACAATTTCAGGGTATTATATACTCAAATATATCATCACTATACTCTTTACTCACATATTTACTCACTTGTTTTAATCTAATTTATTCATTTTGTTTGTTTTTGTCTCTATCTTTGTGTAATAATCAATATAGGAGTTAACTGGACGTCCACCGACAAATTATCTACAGTATACACATGCCTATTATGAAGTACAAGAAGCCTTCAAACGAATACACGCAAATGAATCAACAAACAGTTCTAACAATGTTAATAGTAATGCTTATAAAACTGATGATTCAAGTCTGCATATAACTGATAAGGGTAAGTGAAATAACACGTGCTTAATCTTGTTAAATGCCTAGCTTATGCTTTATTCTTTTTGCATACTATGACACTAATTATTGTTATTATTATTATTGTTTCCTTTAATTCTTAGAGGAATATAGGGCTTCAGCCGTGCGTCTCCATTGAGTTCGGTTCTCTGCTAGAGTCTTCACCTGGCTCAAAGTCTGCCCACACGTTTTCATCTCCTCTTCACATGATCTCCTCCAAGTCACCCTCACCCTTACACTGACGACCAACTCGCCGCTTCCCTTTCGGGTTCCACTCGAGCAATGGCTTGTCTAGTGATGTCACTTGATGACTTGTTTCCTCAGAGTATGGCCAATCCATCTCTGTTTCTTCCTGCTAATTTGTTTCACAATCGATTCCTGCTGTGTTGGTTCGCTCATTTCCAGAGATCTCTGTTGCTGATCTTTTCTGGCCTGCCATCTGATCTTGAGTGGTATTGAGCGAAGACAACTGGCTGTTAATGAAGGTCTGTAGTTTGTCTGAGATGCTCGTTATGACGCGCAGTGCAAGTCTCTGATCCATGCGTAGAGTAGCACTGACTGACTTCACATTGGAGTTGAAAATCCGGATGTTATTTTTGATGCTGAGTGTGCTGTTGACCTCCACACAGACTTGAGAGTAGTGAAAGCCTTTCTTGCTTTTCCGATTCTTGCTTTGATATCCTCGTCAGTTCCATCCGCCTGTAGTTGAGACGATGCTTCCCAGGTAGGTAAAAGAGGTTATTTCTTTCAGGTCAAGGTCAGTAGTATGACACTTATAAATGCATTAAATATAATCCAACTAAAATGAGTTGAATATTAAGCCTAGAACTTTGTACTAAAATGCAGTAGTCCAAGTTGCCAGACTTCATTAAAACTCACATAAAGGTAGAGAAGAGAAGTCCCAAGAATCTATAGTAAACAGTAATGAATAATGGGAACAGTAATCACGAAGAGTGAATGCATCTGCAACACTGACAGCGATTATGAGACATGTCACTAAAAATCACCAACTATTGGTCCTTAGTGTCTCATTTAATCCAGCTACACTTCACTACGTGGGTTAACATAAATAATCAAAACCTTCATGAAATGATGCTATGCTTTCATCTAACCACCCGTAATTTTTTACATCCTGAACTTTATTCTCAAAGAAGGCCGCGGTTAGGTATGCGTAACAAATATCCTAGTGATGTGAATCAGTGTAAACTCAAAATCTCATTGATTGATTTCTCCTTCTTACCTAACGTGCTAGGCATACACTGCTTCACCTGGGAACTCAGACATTTCCGAAACTTATTACTTCTGGATAATATGTGCAAACGTGGTGTTGGTTGGTAACCTTTGAATTAAATGCACTGATTGATGTATTGTGGTAAATAATAGTCATTTATCATGGTAATTATATTGGAAAACACTTAACCTTCAGAAAAACCAAAACACTGAGATTGCTTGTTCCAATATCGCGGGAGATTTCTTCAAATATAACTGGACGCCGAATTTTTGTAAAACTATTAGTTCAACTCTGGTGGACAACGTTTATTAAAAAAACAATAAACAGGTTGTTAACTTCGTATGCCCTAATCTTCGCATTCATTAGTGCAGATTAAGGCTATTAAGATACATCGGTTTATGTTATCATTAGGTAACATGTGATGCGTTATGTCATTTATTTCAATCTGTAGTCGTCTCTCATTAAAAACAATAATACATATGAACATCTATCATATACAGGAAAACAATAGTTTACACAAAAGTACACAACTATCATATCACATGATTTCAGTCCACAAAATGTCTATGTAATTTGCATCTATAAATTGTTATATTAGCGGTTAACTATCTAGGCTACATTGCATTTATTTTTTATTGTTTCCTTAAATTCCTAAAGGAAAGTAAGGCTTCAGCCGCACGTTTTCATTGCGTCCGGTTCTCCACTAACGTTTCCTCCTGGCTCTACGTCTGTCCACATGCTTTCGTCTCCTCTTCGCACAACCTCTTCCATGTCACTCTCAGATAACCAACTCGACGCTTCCCATTTGGGTTCCACTTGAGCGATGGCCTGGCGAGTGATGTCTCTTGATGGTTTTCTCAGAGTATAGCCAATACATCTCCATTTCTCCCTTCATATTTGTTGCTTCTTTTCCAGAGATCCCTGTTGCTGATCTTTTCTGGCCAGCCATCTGATCTTGAGTAGTATTGAGTGAAGACAGCTGTTGATGAAAGTCTGTAGTCTGTTCGAAGTACTCTTCATGATGCGCCAAGTCTCTGATCCCTATAGTAGTACAGACTTCACATTAGACTTGAAAATCCAATTTTTCATGCTGAGTGTGCTGTTGACCTCCATAAGACTTGGGAATAATGAGAGCTTGCCTTGCTTTCCCGATCCTTGCTTTGATATCCTCGTCAGTTTCGCCTGTAGTTGAAACGATGCTTCTCAGTTAGGTAGATAAAGGAGGTTGCTTCTGTAAGATTTCTTCCACTTATGCTGGTTGTTGTATGTCGTTGTTGCTATTGGCCAGAAATCTTCATCACCTCTGTTTTCTCTATGTTCACCTGAAAGCCTATCTTTGATGCTTCTTCTGCCAACTAGTTGCTTTTCACTTGCATATCCTTCAGTTTGTGGGAAATCAGATATATATCATCGGCGAAGTCCAGATCCTCCAAGTATTTTGTGTGAGTCCAATTTTATGCCTCTCCCCTCACTGCCCGCTGTCTGTCGCACTATCCAGTCTACCACAACCAGGAAAATCATTGGAGATAGCAGGCAGCCAGCCAGCCTTGTCTTACTCCCGTCTTCACTTCGAAGGATTCCGTGAGTTTCCCGTTGTGGATTACTTGGCACGTAGCAGTATCGTACAACTGCTAGATGAGGTGAAAAATTGTTGGTGGCACCCTGTAGTAGCGAAGTAGTTTCCAAATCACCTCTCGATCGACGCTGTCGAAGGCCTTTTCAAAGTCAGTGAAGTTGAGATAGAGGGCTGACTGGCACTCCAAGCTCTTTTCAATGATCCGTACTGTTGAGATTTGACCGATGCATGATTTGTTCCTCCTGAATCCAGCCTGTTCCGGTTGAAGTTTTTCATCCACGGCTTGCTTGATTCTCTTCAGGATGATGCGGCTTAGTATTTTGCTTGGGATGGACAGAAGCATAATACCGCGCCAGTTCTTGCATTGACTTTCTTTGGCAGTTTGAATAAGTAACCTTTCTTCCAATCCGCAAGTACTTTGCCCTCTTTCCACAGCCTCTCCGGTAGTGGTGTCATCAAGTCCGCTGATGTCTCTGTGTCCATTTTCAACGCCTCTGCTAGGATTCTGTCTAGTCCTGCTGCTTTTCCAGCTTTTAGCATTTATGTGGCCTTCAGGATTTCTGTTCTCATCTGAGAGTTGATGTCCACTGGTAGTTCTGCTTCCGATGTTGATATTATTGGGCGCCTTGTAGGTGGCGATCGATTTAGAAGTCTTTTGAAATGTTCAGCCCAGTGTTTCCGTTGCTCCACTTCTTGGGCGATTGACTCCTCATCGTGACCCTTTACTGGCTTAATTTGTGTTGAGATTTTCCCGATAGGATCCTAGTTGTTTGGTAGAGTGTTGCGAGGTCTCCTTTGCCTGCAGCTTGTTCTGATTCACTCGCTATAGCTTCATAATATTGTCTTTTGTCTTTTCTGGCACTTTTCTCTACTCTTTTGTTCAGTGTATTGTAGCTTGCATTCAATTCCTGGTTTTATTGCTCACCGATGCACTGGGTAATCTTTTGTTTCATCATCCTTCTCTCTTCTACTAGTCTCCATGTGTCTGTAGTGTTCCGCTGTTTGTCCTGCCTCTTCTTCCTGTCTAAAACTTCCATGCAGGTTTGACTGCACACCACTTTCAGGCTGTTCCAGTCCTTTTCGATGCTGGTGTCTTCGCTAGTGTTGATTTGTGTCTCCGCCATTTTCCTTATGATTTCAGTGTATCCTGATCCTTCACTTTTTAAGTACTGAACTTGGATTGTGGTCCTTCTACAGCTCCTGCTTCTTTGAAAGCTTGTAATGTGATTTGGAGTGTTCCTTGTACAAGATAATGGTCTGAGCCAAAGTCTGCTAGATGGTCAAGGCTATCATGTAGTCTTTCTTACAATGGTCACAAACTACTCCTCCTTGTTATTCAAGTGTTGATTTGTAGGGATTTGATTTTTTCAGGATTTCATGATGAACTGACATTGCTTAGAGGATCATTGGAAAAACTGGAAGTACTGGACAGCTATTCCGTCCTTGTTTGGGACTCTTCAGTAGTACACACCCACCACATGGAGTTCGAACCCAGGACCTTCCGGGTTCAAGGCGAACTCGTAGATCATTAATCCACTGGGACCTGGTCTAATAGTCCATGAATTCCAGCATCCACCGATTCATGAAATGGCGCGACCACTAGCGAATGTCATCGCTGGTGAGCATTTGTCCTCAAACCGGATCTGCTGAACCCAACTAGTCACGACTTCCTACTAGAACCGAAGTAGCTACCAACTTGAATAGGATTACCTAGGTTCTTTGTGTTGACAAACTCTGGTGACGGCTTGCAAGTAGTTTAGTTTCTTTACATCTATTCTGTCACCCTATTTACAATCATTACATTTTCTTCAATAAACTTTCTAAACTATGATGCAACTGTCTGATACAACTGCGAATAAAACTCTCTTATAGACTGCTCCTACTATTAAAAGTCTAGTTGCATTTCATGTTGAATAAATCCGATAAGTGAAAACCACTGCCATAATAAAATTTTGTGATTTCAGGGTCTCAATGTGCATGAAAGTATAAACTTTTAACAAATAAGCTACTGAATTCCCTTAGTTGGATTGGGCTTTGACATTTCTTCTTTTACAGTATTCAGAGTGTACATATATTCCTGTGCAAAAAGTGATCACATGTAATTCTAACACAGAATAATTCCATGACAACCCCTTATACATTTGACCAAACTTATCTGTCAGTGATAAACATATAATCCGGTGCTCTGACCACAATCCGTCAGGAATATTGTTTGGAAGCATGACATCAGTCCCAAGACGCTGTAGAAGTGTATTGCCGCCTTGCGTTTATGATCCGGATGCTTTTGACAGACTTCCACTAATTTTTTAACGAGCAGATTGCTTAGTGTACCATTTACTGACGAGTTCACACAGATTACATATATAAAAATTAAGTAATCGTAAGACAAATACAATAGTAACTTTTAAATTCGTAAAAAAACTATATCTTATTCGGTGTTGTATAACCCTTTCAAATGACCCGTTCTGTAATCAGCCAACAAAATCATGTGATTAAACTAGAAATCGGGTTTAAGATGTATTTCAGTGACCTCGTATTTTGAAGCGTTAAAACACGAACAAGATATTTAGTTGAATTATGATTTGACGCGTTCATATGATTCATGAACAAAACGTTCACAGTGTGAAATGAAACTGTTGGCTGCGAATTAATTATTTAGTGTATCAAAGAGGAGGCGGTTTTGTTGAGTTTGAATGTGGTCCACTTTTTTTTGGTTGCAAATCTCATTCCCATGTATGGCAGTATCACTTTGTTAATACAGAGTTAGTGCAGATATTCTAATTTACGATATATATTACACGAGATGAACAGTGAAAGTCTACACTACTAAAACTAATATGACATTCATTCAATTACTGTTGTCATGATCATAATGTCGTGTGAATGTTATGTCGAGTACTTAGAATTTAGTCCGATAGAAACCCTTCGGTTAGTTATACCATATAATAGCCCTTTCAGTGAGGCACATCCGAAATTCCTTAAAAATGAAAACTGCGATTACTTACTTTCCCCTTAATTTGTGTGTGTTTGACAGGTAATTCCCTGTAGGCGCATTATGGGAACTGTAAATCCTTACTTATGTAAAGCTGCAGTATTTACTGAGTTTCACTAGTTTAGCTTGGACTACGGTCACTAAGCAATGTTGTAAGATACTATGGTGTGATGAGTTTGGTGTCGAATATTAGAAGTCTGTCTTCTCCCTTATTACACGAAACAGACATCGGTTACAGGGTTTCATCATGAGCTGACATTGGTTACAGAACCATTGGAAAACCTGGGAGTAGTGGACAGCTGTTTCGTCCTACTTTGCAACTGTTCAGTAGTAAGTACCCATAGAGGTTCACACCCAGGGCCTCTAAATGACGTCAGCTTGTGGTCAAACGTGAAAACAATCAAATCCCTGCAAATCAACACTTGAAAATTAATCTGATGCTCACTAGTTACCGGTTCTATGCAGGAAGTTACCTGGAGCTCTAATGGGTGGTTATGACCAGTGGGATCCTTTAAGTCAGGTTAGAGGACATTTACTCACCGTTTGAGCTGCACATATCACCAAATTGGCAGAAGTTGGAATTCATGAAGCGTTGAGTTGGATCCCAGGGACTAAATGGTCTACGAAGTCGCCATGTGACCGGAAGGTCCAGGATTCGAACCCTGTTGGGCGCGTACTACTGAAGAGTGCCAAACTAGGACGAGATAGCCATCCAGTAGCTCTCTAAATGATGTTAGCTGGTTTCCCAAACCTGCAACCAATCAATTCCCTACCAACCAACACTTGAAAACTGACTTTTCTACTTCAGTGTTAATACTTAGTTGAATAATTCAATAATAGATCTTTAAACCTTAGACTGAAATCGGAGATTAGTATGAGAAGAAGAGAAGTAAAACGTTTCCATCTAGATGTATACAAACAAAAGTTCGAAGTAAATTGCTAAATGAATTACGAATAGCCTTACCAATGTTGCTTAAATGTCCTAACCTTGACTTTTTTTAAACTTATCTCTTTTTTTTACTAGATCAGTTATCAAAATGCCTAAATACAATTCACGTTCGCGGTAGCCGACTTCAAGAGACTGGATTCATGCTGTCACCAAGAGTAATTCGTAAAGCAAGTATAAAGCTTTCACCATCAGTTAACTGTTTGCTAAAAAGCAGTCATTCATCTCTATTTATAGATGATTTAGTCAATCAAAATCGTGAACAAGTAGCGCGGAAATGTGACGGTTATTCAAATCAAGTAAGAAAACATATTTTGACTTTTTAAACATGTCTTATGAGATAAAAATTTTCAATTTTTGACTTTTCACTGTGAATTGAGTACATGTTAGATTTCGATTGACCTATGTAAGTGACATTCTCGTTGACCTAGTATTTGTGTATTATATAGACAAAGCGGATTTCCTGGTTGTGATAAATTCAGTTCGACCAGTTCCATTCATTAGCCTTCCTTTAGGTTCAGTATTTCGTGAAATATTGTCCGAGATATGCTTATATGAATGGCATGGTCTCCGTAATCAATTTGCCTACTGTTCTATTTACTCGTCTAATACTTCACTTATAATAACCCTGAACTATTTTTGTGATAAAAATATGAGATTCGTGATCCGCTGTTGGAAAACTATGTCACATTGATGTGAATTTAACAGTCAAGATTGAAATGGTCTGTTAAATCAGCCATTAGGTATTCCAAATCCGTTCATTCCTACAAAAATTGATTTCTTTTCGTAGAAATAACATGAAAGCTCTAAAATACTATTATTGTTATCAAGTGGATAGAATTTTTGATTACAATATTTCTATTCAGATTAAGTACATTGGGATTTCTATGTATCTTAATAACCATTTTGAAACGTGTTCTTTTTCGACGACATTGGGACATTCTATTGGTTCTACCCATATAGGTGTCATCGCAACTGCAGGTCAACTTGTAGATACAGTTTGAAGTAGAGTCTACAGAATTTCGTCCTTTAATCGTAGGTACAGGGATCGAAAATGTTCGAGATGTGAATGAACGAGATGTGGCGTAGAATATGCATATGATGGCTGACTGAAGTCTTTGAGCTGTCAACTGCATAATTTGATCACCCTTGAATAATTGGTTAATGAAGATAGCTTTCTTTGGTACAGAAGCTGTCTTTTCAAGAATAAGGTTTATCCTTACTATGACAATTGATAAAGTTTTCTGAATAACCATTAGCTAATAAAACTGAATATACGTGTCGAAGCTCATGCATTAATGTACCACTCGTACATATTTTGCGTGCCATTGAAAACAAACATTTCACTAGGGAACGTTTATACTGGATAACAACAGTTGACAGCTCAAAGACTTCGGTCAACTATCCAGTGTACATTCTACGTCACATCCCTTTCCTTTACACCTTAAACATTTTCGATCCCTGTACCTACGATTAAAGGAAAAAGTTGTGTAGACTCTACTTCAAACTGTATCTATAAGTCAACCTGCAGTTGCGGTGACACCTATATAGGTAGAACCAATAGAATGTTCCAATGTTGTCGAAAAAGAACACGTTTCAAAATGGTTATTAAAACACATAGAAAATTACAATATCTGTTATTTTTATGTCTAAACAAATAAAATATTATTGTGCTATTCAGATGTACTAGAATAAGAGATTATATTTCACTTGGGATATATATAACAGTTCATTCGATCTCTATGAGAAGAGGAAATACTGTGATACAAGGCTGAATGGACTAGGACTCTAAACAAAATAATATTTTTTCCTTGTTGTATGTTTTTCTTGTAGGCATGCTGAAATTCATGACGTTTCCACCACTTAACTATCCATCTAGAAATCCTTCGTGCTTGCTTGCATTTCTGGACTGAACTACACTGATCTGATCCTTATGAAAATAAAAAATAAAAATGTTTTAAGGACATATTTATGTGTTGTTGCATGACATTTGATTTCCAGCTGTTATCTAACAAAAAATGGAAGGCAATTGTAATTCAGGTTTATAGTAAACAAAAATAAAAACATGCGGGCAGGATTAAGAGAAAATGTTTGAATCATATCTGTTATGACTCAATACCTGTCATTGTTTGTTCTTAGTGCGAATGCCACACTATTTTAAAGGGTTGACAGGTTTCTGCGATATCGATTCAACTCAGTGATTAATCTGAAAGTATTTATGAAACTTTCCATTATTCACAAAGCAAACAATCTCTGTTGGTTGGTAGCCCCCATCAATGAATGATTCTTCATCAACTTATCTAGTTTAAAATAGTTTCATGTCTGGTTTGATCCTGGCAAAGGGAATAACGATAACATAATGTGAAAGGAACTGTATGATATTGTTTATATATATCAAATACAGAAACTAGGGATGAAAGGGAGATCCTTGCCAACAGCTTTCGAAACAGAGGCACTTGGATTGCTGCCATCGGTTTCTTTAGATTCAGTATCAATAAAGTAAAACGCTTTCAAAAATGGGCAGTTGTCACATTCCATTCTCGCTAAATACCATAAACTGTTATGATGTCAGTAAGAAGTGTGTTGCGTAACATTAATTTAAAAGATTAGGAATAGAAAAGAAAAGAAAATGCCTCAAAATAGTAGGATGTTATACATAGAATGTGTATACCTGAGTTCAAAATATAAACCTTATTATTAATATTATTTAATTTTAATTGATTTGCCACTAAAATATTATTTGTTCACAGATTATGAACAACTCAAAGACTCTTAATTACTCTACAAAAGAATATTCCCAGGAAACGCTGAATTCAACACGATCGGCTAAAAAGTTACAAAACGAAAACTGCATTATGCAAAAATTCAATAAATCTCTTCCACTGACGTTTAAACCACGATTTAAAAGTAATTTACTACAATTCAATAATGAATTATGCACATCTGCTTCTAGTCCATCTCTGTGTGATTCAGGTGTACTCCTGCGTCAAACAACAAATCAATCGACAACGAAACCAACAACAACAACAACACAACCTCAACCCCTACCACCACCAGCAGCGGCAGCAGCTTCAGTAACACAAACAGTTACATCACTGTCATCATCATCTCCATTGTCTTCACTTTCTACAGGCTTGTTAAATTCTAGTCAGTCGATGAATCTAGATAATCCTACATCTATAACCAATGAAATAGATATTCAAAATTCTAAGCAGGAGACTTTCGATATTTACAGTTGTAAAGATATACAAAAGGCTATTTCATGGCTTGAAGTTGAATTGAATGCAGTTAAAAATATAATGCTGGCTAACATGAAGTGTGCAAATGAGAATAGACGGAATAGAACATCACGCAAGGCTTACAGATTAGCTGTTAAGCGTAATCAAGAAACAGTAAGTTTATTCAGATTATATATATGTATTGTCACTTTACTTATCAATCTTCTGAACACACACGCAAATTTAGTCAGTTTGGAGTCAATTTTCTGATTTAGTAGTGTTCTTAAGACAAATATCATTTTTCAAGCATTGATTTTGTAGTGATTTTGTTTGATTGGATGGAGGATTTCATCATGAGCTGACATCATTTAGAGTACCGCTGGAAAACCTGGGAGCACTGGACAGCTGTTTTGCCCTGGTTTGGGACTCTTCAGCATTACGCACCCCCGGGGTTCGAATTAATCTGATGCTCAATAGCGACTGGCCGTATTCGGACAGTGACCTGGGGTTCTAGTGGAAAGTCTTGACCAGTAGGGTACAGAAGGTTGAAGATGAGGCAGTAACTCATCGAAGAAAACATTTCAAAATGGTCACGATATGTTGTGAATTGGCAGAAGTTAGAATTCATTGACCATTGGGCTGGGTCCCAGTGGCTCAATGGTCTACGAGCACGCCTTGTAACCAGTAGTTCCTGGGTTTGCACCCTTTGGTGGGTGTGTACTGGTGAAGAGTCCCAAACTAGGATGACGAAACAGCTGTCCATTACTCCCAGGTTTTCCAGTGGTTATCTAACTGATGTCAGTTCATGATTAAATCCTCCACCCAAACAGATACCAGTGTCTTGGCAGATATCTTACTGTTATTTTACTAATGAGAAAACACATTGTTCAACTTAAAATAGTAGCTACAGAAACGTTAGTGTTGAAACAATCATAAGAATATTTAAATTTGAGAAAGAGCGGCAGTTCATGGAGATCAGAATGTCATTATTAGTTGCATGGGCTTTTATAAGTGAACTTTCAAAGCATTGCAGTGTGAATATTCACCAGACTTTCTTCAGTAGAAGTTAAATAGTCACTCAGTGTATGTCTTTGATTTCAAATCCATCTTCTTCTACATTATTATAACTAATAAGTAAAAATAGTTGACTACTCGAACTGATATACTTTAATGTCCTATTCACTTTTCTGCATTCATTTGGTGTACGGCAACCATTAGCTGTCACCAAAAAACTATCCATAGCATCAGGCAATAAGGTACACCCTCCAAAGAATTAAATGTACCATAAATTTAACAAGGAAGACTAATACTGGCACCTAAGTATAACAGAAGTATCAAACTGTGTATAGGAACAATACAAGTCAATAAAATGTGACTAGCATTCAGGTGCTACCGAAACTAATACAGAATTAATACTAATTGCCATCAAATATTTTGGTGTAATATTTGAGAAAATCAAACCTCCATTATCCTTAAGCCTGACATACCATAGACAGAATTCGTCATCGTTTTTTTGCACTAGTTAATAAGAATAACGAGTTGTAATACGAATGTCTAGACAAGAGATTGATTTTATGTATTTAACTTACTTCGAATTACGGCTAATTTGGAAAAATGTACTAGTGTACCGAACAATCTTTCCATTTGACATAATGATAATAGTAATAATAATTTCAAATGAAGACTTTCTTTAGAACGAAATACGACATGCATAGCTGAGGAATTAACACTAAAATATGTCTGTTTAATACACATCTGGAAAATTTTTTCACACTTTAAAATTAAGATGAGGTTGTAATAATGAGACACTACAAATCAGTGTATACATATACTTTAAAAGTTTAAGTGTAACAAGTGTAACAGTACTTGTAAATAAAGTACCTGATGACGTCGATAGCATTATCTGATTATTCTGAGTAATTAATGCGTACTGATGTCTGTAAAGATTGCAGTACTGGTTAATTAGACTTCTGAATCTATTTTTTCAACTTGAACGTAATGTAATGCGAACGTGATAAATAACGACACTTCACAGAATATACATACATTCTGCTGACTGTTTAGAGCTGACTGAAGACGGAGGCTTTTTAGAGATGCATAAATTGAATAGGCCTTCTGAAAACAAAACTAAATTATGTGGTACCTCAAAACAACTCCAACTGATAGTTTCACCCTGAGTTATTCTAAGTTTAAAAAATGGTCAGGCTTTTAGACAATAACTTACGTTTATATTCTAGCTATACCACTTGTTTGTGACAATAAAAGTTTTCAAAAAAGGGCATAGGTTAAATCTTCTATTCTGCAATGAATTTATGTCTCAAGTCAACCTTAAATGGGGATAGCGAATAATTTAGTCTATGTGGAATAACCAATGTCTTAAACTACTGGATTCGCTATAGGAGAATATTTTACTGAAATACCACAGGTGGCACAGTGGTAGAATGTTCGCCAACTACGCATATGGTTTGGAGTTCGATCGCCGGCCACCGACGCACTCCTTTACCTCATTAAGCCGGTAATAAGACTGGTGAAGAGGATAGGTTGCACATGAGGCTAGCAACCCCATCCAGTAAAAATAAACACCACTGCTACCGAAACTTCGAAGCTTTAGCCTGAAACCCTATGTTCCACTAGGAAAGTAAAAGAATAGAAAAAATTAAAGAACCACAGGAAGATGAATAATAGGGAAGTTATTGTGCTTCAATGCAGCTATTTCTTTTCCTTTTCTGTTGTTTGTGCTTCAGTAGCTAAAAAATACCACAGAATGTATTATCTGCTTTTTTTGTTATAAATCAGAATTAAAGGAAATGCTATTCAAAATCCATGAGATCAAACCTCTACATCGAAACTTTTTTGTACTATTTTTAAAACCCTTGAATTACAAAATGTGATTTGTATATAGGCATCAAGATTACACAGTATGAACTGTACGTATTGTTACATTCAACACTTATTATGTTTTTGTCAGTTCCTCTAACTAGGTCGTTTGTATAAATTTAAAGTATCCTAGTTAGTTTCCGTAAGGTAGAGTGAAACTTTCGGTACTAAATCTGTTTTCTGAAGATTTTTGAATATTCAGCAGTACATGTAATACATAAACTTATCAAATATCTTTTAAACATTATTTTTCTGAAGTTACTCTGGTGAAGTGATGCTTCATTAGAAGAGAGTTCTTGAAAGAATTGATTGAAACTGGCGTTTTCTTAGCCAGTAATCTGTGATTAAATTGGGATCTATTTTTTGTAATGGTTGAATGCTAAAAACCAGGAAAAATGCTTCTGAAATATGAACAAAGCAAGAACTACAGTTTTAGCAGAATAGAGTGGTACCATCTTTTATTTCGTTGCCTTCTCGTCAGCTGCTTACAGGGCAAAGACATTATCAAATATATCTACAAAAATAATTTTAACATACTTGCACAGAGTTCATTTTAAACAAAAATCAATCGATCAATATTTGCATACAGTATTATTATTATTGTATGATTTAATTCCTAGAGGAACATAGGGCTTCAGCCGTGCGTCTCCATTGCGTTCGGTTCTCTGCTAGATTCTTCACCTGGCTCCATGTCTGTCCACTCACCTTCATCTCCTCTTCACATGACCTCCTCCAAGTCACCCCACTCTTGCACTGACGACCAACTCGCCGCTTCCCTTTCGGGTTCCACTCGAGCAATGGCTTGTCTAGTGATGTCACTTGTTGGCTTGTTTCCTCAGAGTATGGCCAGCCAATCCATCTCCATTTCTTCCTGCCTATTTGTTTCACAATCGGTTCCTGCTGAGTTGGTTCGCTCATTGCCAGAGATCTCTGTTGCTGATCTTTTCTGGCCAGCCATCTGATCTTGAGCAGTATTGAGCGAAGACAACTGTTGATGAAGGTCTGTAGTTTGTTTGAGATGCTGTTTATGACGCGCAGTGCAAGTCTCTGACCCATCCGTATAGTAGCACTGACTGACTTCACATTGGAGTTGAAAATCCGGATGTTATTTTTTATGCTGAGTTCTGTTGACCTCCACACAGACTTGAGAGTAGTGAAAGCTTGTCTTGCTTTTCCGATTCTTGCTTTGATATCCTCGTCAGTTCCGCCTGTAGTTGAAACGATGCTTCCCAGGTAGGTGGGTGAAGGAGGTTGTTTCTTTCAGGTTCCTCCCATTTATGCTGATTGTTGTCTGTTGTTGCTGTTGGTGGTGTTGACCAGAAATCTTCATCACCTCTGTTTTCTCTATGTTCACCTGAAGTCCTATCTTCTCTGGATGCTTCTTCTGCCAACTTGCTGCTTTTCGCTTGCATGTCTTCCAGTTTGTGGGAAATCAGACATATATCATCGGCGAAGTCCAGATCCTCCAAGTTTTTTGTGTGAGTCCATTTTATGCCTGTTTCCTCATTGCCCACTGTTTATCGCATTATCCAGTCTACTGCAATCAAGAAAGTCATTGACGATAGTAGGCAGCCTTGTCTTACTCCTGTCCTCACTTCGAAGGGTTCCGTGAGTTTCCCGTTGTGGATTACTTGGCATGCATTTTTGCCGTACACCTGTTGGATGAGATGTATAATTGTCGGTGGCACCCCTTTGTAGTAGCGAAGTAGTTTCCAAATCACCTCTCGATCGACTCTGTCAAAGGCCTTTTCAAAGTCGATGAAGTTGAGATAGAGAGGTGACTGCCATTCCAGGCTTTGTTCAATGATGATCCGTAATGTGGCGATCTGATCAATGCATGACTATTTTCTCCCGAATCCAGTCTGTTCTGGTCGAAGTTTTTCATCTAGGGCATGTTTGATTCTCTCCAGGATGATGCGGCTTAGTATTTTGCGTGGGATGGACAGGGTAGTTTGAATAAGTATCCTTTCTTCCAATCCGCAAGTACTTTGCCTTCTTTCCACACCTTCTCCAGTAGTGGCGTCATCAAGTCCGCTGTTGTCTCTGGGTCCGTTTTCAATGCTTCTGCTGGGATTCCATCTGGTCCTGCTGCTTTTCCAGCATTAAACATCTTGATTGCCTTCAGGACTTCTGATTTCGTTGGGGGGTTGGTGTTCACTGGTAGCTCTGTCTCCGTTGTTGGTATTGCTGGGTGCGTTGTAGGTGGCGATCGATTTAGGAGTCTTTTGAAGTGTTCAGCCTAGTGTTTCCTTTGCTCCACTTTCCATTGTCATCCTTCACCGGCTTAATTTGTGTCAAACGTTTGCCTGATAGGTACCTAGTAGTTTGGTAGAGTGTTGCGAGGTCTCCTTTGCCTGCAGCTTGTTCTACCTCACTTGCCATGGTTTCATAGTACTTTCTTTTGTCTTCTCTGGCACTCTTCTTTACTCTTTTGTTCAGTGTATTGTAGCTTGCATTCAACTCCTGTTTTTGAGATCATTGTTGCACTGGATAATCTTTTGTTTCATCATCCTTCTCTCTTCTACTAGTTTCCAAGTGTCCGTAGTGAGCCATTGCTTGTCCTGTCTCTTCTTTCTGCCTAGAACTTCCATGCAGGTTTGACTCCACACAGTCTTCAAGTTGTTCCAGTGCTTTTCGACGCTGACCTCTTCGCCAGTGTTGATTTGTGTCTCGGCTTTGTCTTTTATACTTGCAGTGAAGATGTCCTTTGTGTCCTGGTCCTTTAGTTTTTGAGTGTTGAACTTGGCATACAGTAATAATATATATATATGTAATATTAAACACTATCCTGAACAATAATAATCATACACAATGGAAACTTTTCAGCATTTCTCATTCAGGTGAAAGAAAGATGAAAAATATCCAGTTACCAGGGCAAAGAAAGACTGATAACCGCTTCTTTCTGGACGCATAAATCTGAATGAGAAATGCTGAAAAGTTTCCGTTGTGTATGATTATTATTGTTCGGAATAGTGTTTAATATTACATTCACGGGATGATGTTGCTAGCCTCATTTCCAACCTTCTCTCTTTACCGGTCTTATTTCTGACTAATCCAGGTAAAGGAGTGCGTCAGTGGCCAGGGATCGAACTCCGAACCGTATGCGTAGTTGGCGAGCATTCCACCACTGTGCTACCGACGCACAAACAGGCAGGGAGGACTGGGACTCATTCGCAGTACGCACCCATCGCCAGGGTTCGAACCCAGAACCTGCATGTCACAAGGCAAGCTCGTAGACCACTCAGTCACTGGGGACCGTCAAAGAATATATTATGAATTTATTTGGCAGTTTGTATTCTTAACTAACAAATTATGGTATCTTTGAAAGCTTCCCATTAAAATAGGTAAAGTTTGAAGGATGTTTCGAAACTTTCATGTGCCTTGCAATTATTCGCAATGTTGTCGTATCCCAATTATCACCTTGTTGCGCAATGTTTTAGATGCTTACCAATGTTATTATTTCTACATCCCTTTTGAAACTTATACATTTGATATACTATTTTACAAAGTACGTAGCTAATTATTTTTGACGCAGTTCACGTTATTACTTTAAAAAATCACATAAATATATACGACTGTATAGCTTGATAATAGATTCGATGTTTTGGCTTTCTAAATATCTAATAAATCACTCTAGAGAAAATGTTGCGTAATTTGTTGAATATCTTGCAGTTGAGAAAAAAGTTAGAGATTAATAATTTGCCATTTAGTCTATTTGAAAACTTCACCGTAACTACGTGGTCTTCACTGAGTCGAATTACACTAATGATGACAAAGATACTTCGGTTTCAAAGCCTAATCAGAAAATTTAATTCCAAAGGGTAATAAAATCAGCAAGATTTCTCAAGTTAGCATAAAATACTCTACTTGATTTCTTCAGGAGTTTTAGCAAATATCTGTGAGTTAATAAAGGCCATCGTGAACTTTGAGCTGTAATTAAAACCTTTGAACAGCTTTTTTTTCATATTCGATATCGTCATTGTGAAAGACGATCAGTCTTAGATGTTTAAAGAAAATAATAAACAGGAATTTGTGTATCGATCAGCAACTTATTACATCACTTCCGAGAAGACTCATTTTCCCTTAATGAACTTCCAGATTATTATGAAATAGCGATTTCACTGGGTAAATAATAACTCTTGATTACAGGATTTCATCATGAGCTGACATCGTTTAGACAGCCATTGGAAAACCTAAGAGTACTGGACAGTTGTTTCGTCCTAGTTTGAGACTGTTCAGTAGTACGCACCCACCGCCAGGGTTCGAACCCAGGACTTTCCGGTTACAAGGTGAGCTCGTGGACCATTAAGCCACTGAGGCCCAATCCAATGGCCAGTCCATGAATTCTAACTACTGCCAATTCATGACATAGCGCGACCACTAGCCAAAGTCTTTGGCGACTATGTGTCCTCATACCCGACCTGCTGCACTCTACTGGTCACGACTTTCCAATAGAACCCCAGGTAACTACCTACCTGAATAGGGCCAGTTACTAGTGAGCATCTCATTGATAATCAAGCGTTGGTTTGTAGGGATTTGATGGATTGGTTACAGGATTTCATCATGGGTTGACATCGATTAGAGAACCACTAGAAAATCTGGGAGTACTGGAAAGCTGTTTCATCCTAGTTTGCAACTCTTGTAACCAGTCAATCAAATCCGTACAAACCGACATTTGAAAAACTTTTGAAGTGGATTTAGGAAGGCCTATTTTTTGCCAATTATTCATTAATGAATGCCATGGGTCCGTTTCAACTCATAAAACAAGATATTTTTAATTAATTGAGTAATCTATTCTGGTATAAAACAGTAGAATCCGAAAATTTTATGAATTGCCTGGTAACTTCATGATATTCGCTTAATTCTGTACACACATATACCTTATCGGAGAATTTAGCAAAAATAATAGTCACATGTTAACTCTCAATCGAACCCATTTCCATCAATTTCTAATCTACTTAGTATCCCTTTCAAAGTTCAAGAAATCACATTTTTCCATGAAACTATGTAATTTTTCAGAGTTTTTAAGGTATCAATACCTTTACTGATATTTTGAATTTGAAAAGCGCTTTTTGAAATAACATAAATGTTGATCATTTTTTCATTTGAGTTCATTAAATTTGTTCTCTTTGTATCCTTCAGATAAACAGTCTTCAGAGTCAAATTCGTAGTCTACAAATTTATGCTGAAAAACAGGAACCCTTATGCAGAAATTCAAAATATGAAAATGCATCAGTGTGTAACTCTGATGCTTCAATGAGGCAGTCTTCCTTAAGAATTTCAACATCATCTTTATCTTCTCCTTCTTGTTCATATTCTCCATCATCTTCACTTATGAATAGTTTAGTTATTGTCAATGAACATGTATCGAGTGGTCAGTCAACGCCTGGAGTTCAATCAAAAGTTTATACAGGTGGAAAAGAAAGCGCTAAGTTTCAGCATTCACCACCAACTGCAGCTGTTCCAGTCAATATCTCTAAAAATACCTCATCATTAATCCAGAGGAACTGTATAACTCCTAATTTTGATATGAAGAACAACTGTCAGACGAATATTCTGCATAGCGGTAAATCAAGAAATTTACCAATTACTTCATCTCACAGTCAGCTAAATATTAGTACTAAAGTAAATAAGAATACAGAAAAAGTACCGAAATCATCATCCACATATTTCGAGTCAAATGAATGCAAAGAAATGAATTTCGCTCGAGACAATCCAAATCCAGTTGAACAAACGGGTATCTCGTCGTGTGAAACAACAACAGACAATCAGGGAACACTAATGAAGGATGATAGAAATGATAATGATGATGGCTCGGAAATATATTATGAACACCTAAGAAACAAGTAATTACAAACTTTTAAAATTATTCATATTGATAAGTTCCAAAATTGATTAGTTTGAAACTTATTTCTTACTGTCTAAAACAGTTGAATGTTGTGGAATAGACTTAAAAGATCTGTGTGCATAAATCCTTCATTTCATGGCACTTATTGCCCATCTTAAGGGAATTAGTGTTCTCATTAAAGACTGAAAAATATCCATTCATCGAAGCACCTAGGGGAGTGCAGATATGTTCAGGCAATATATCAACTAAGTGAACTGGTATAAAGATTTTAAAATTGTGGGTCAAGTATTGTCTCAAAAAATTAACAGTACGATGATGACAACGGTAAAGACAGCGGAGACGACATGAAGTGGAATGAATTCCAGCGTTAAAATAGAATAAAATAAAAAGAACATAGCTATGACCACAGTGGTTAGAACTCTCGCCGACCATACACATGGTCCGGGGTTCGAACCCCTACCGACGCACACCCGATATCTATGGTCGGCCTGCAAAATTTGGGCTACCGATATCCATGCTGAAAATTCCATACTTGAACCAAAAATGCTGTGTGGAATCAAGCTGTATTCAAAAAAAAGAAAGAAAGAAAGGAGTCTAGCAAAACGTTTTTATACACATAATTTAGGTTTTTGTCCATGTGAAGCTAGATCTCCGGCTATTCATAAGTAGGGAAAACGTAAGCTTTTGGTGTGGTTCGATTTGGTCATGTAGATAACTTTAAAGGATAAATCACATGGGGCTGAATGTCTTGACTCCAGAATGTGTTCACAAATTGAAGACTTCGTCGTTCTATGCTCATCGGTCATTAACCAAACCTATTAGTGTTCAGCTACGCGTTTACGGAGAACACGCTTACAAAGTCCAATGTAATCAGCTCCATATTCCACTTCCCTTCATCTTCTCAGTCTTTGCAATTATCGTCATCACACCTTAAGTTTTTTAGACTACACTTGACCTACAATTTTAATATATAAAATATTTAATCATTGACTAATAACAAGATTAATTTATCAGTCTGTAGATTCGAATTATTGATATTGTCCCCTTAGGTTCAAAGTGGAACATATGTCTTCCGTCTTATCCTGTTCTCTGCAATCCTCTTTAGCTGGCTCAATGATTTCCAATAAGCCCTTATCCTCTTCCTACACGATCTTCTCCACCCCCTACCCACGCATAACTCGTCGTTTCATATTCAGTTTCTACTTGAGGGTTTGGAGAGCGATGTTACTGAAAGGTCTCCTCAGAGTTTGACCTATCCATCTCCCCATTTTCTTCGGCATATTTGTTGGTCATTAGGTTCCTGGTCATTTCATTCCCAGAGTTTCTTGTTTCTTATGATTTACGGCCAACCGCCTGATCTTCGGTATCGGGCTGAGGCAGCTGTTGATGAAAATCTGCAGCAGGTTGTTAGAACTGCTTTAAATGACATGCACACCGAGTCTTTGAACTATATAAAAACAGTGACTTGACATTAATGCTAAACACAATTCGGATCTTGTTATTTACACTGAGTGCAGTAGATATCCACACATAATATCAGAATAATAAAGGTTTGTTTGTCTTTTCTGATCCTACCTTTGACACCTTCATCCGTGCTCCCTGAAGTGGAAACGATGCTGCTTAGATAAGTAAAAGAGGTGGCCCAGTTCAAATTTCTCCTGCTGATAGGGATCGGCAGGGATCGTTGTTTCTGGTTAGGCACCTTTATCACCTCTTTCTTCTCTTTATATTCACTTGAATTTCTGTCTTCATTGCCTTCCTCTTCTGCAGACTTGTTGGTTTTCACCTTCGAATTTGTGTGATTCCAACTAGTGTTAACAAAACACAGATGCAAGGTAATCTTTACAGTGCATCTACTTATACACAGGTTGAAAAAATGTTGAACAGTTGTTTTATTAATTTAGCTCAATATATTACTTCACTATAGTTCTGTGAACAACGGAAAGGAAGCATTACTTCACTGTCTGTTATTTTGGTGTTCTCCCAATTTTCTATACTTAAAGCACAAGTAAAAAGCGTTTAATAGCCAAAAGGTTGATAACCAACAATAACTGAACAAATAAAATTCCTATTTCAAATTATGATATTTCTTGGTTTCTAATCATATCTACTCTACTGAAAAGCTTTTATCCTATTAAAACATCATAAAACTTTGAATTATTCTGCCATGTAATACAATAGAATAATTTGCATGTAATATCAGGTGGCAAACTATTTCATGACAAGCACAGCTGTTCAAATTTATAATGATGATTTAGCTGTCTTTATTTGTCTGTGGGATTTGAAAAAACTGTGTCTAGATAGTGTGGGAAAAATTGTGATTGATGTGGTTTTTACCCACGCACATACACACACACACTATGAACTGATCAAAAGCCATTATTGAAAAATATGTCGACGAATTTATGACCGTTTAATCTCATCTTTTAGTCATTTTCTGATAATGACTTGCAGCTGATTGTTGACTGAATATGAAATATGAACTTGGATGAGGGGATAGTGTGAACTAGCGGCCTAGAGATGCAAACGCTCCAATGACCTTGAATGAGGGCTGGTCATTAGATAACGAGACCTCTCATTATTATAGCGCTAATATGAGTGCTATTCAACAACTAAAGAGCAAATTTCATCCAAATCACGTTTTAAGTACTGCTTGATCAATGGATTGATAGTGCGTAGCGGCAGATGTTCTTGTGGTGCTTCCATGTATCCGCAAAGGTATTCAGAAGCCTGTGATAGACATGCATTTAGGTGCAAACAGTGTAAGAAACGAATGAGTAAGTTACATACTCAATTCATTGTTTTTCTAGGAACTTTCTTTACTTAATTGAAACTACGTTTGACGAATATACTGTTTATGTCCCATTAATGGATATTAAAGTCCGGAGTAAGATCAACTACCATGCACCAGAAAATACCTTGGTGTCAACTGTGCAATGGTTTCAGTATTGCAGAGAGATATAGACTCCTGGAAGTTGAATGTTACACAGGTTTTGGAAAGAGTTGGTGTGTTTGTTCACATCGACGAAACAGTGTTTATGAAGAAGAAGCACAATCGCGGTCACGCTAGAGCTAAGAAATTTTAGGTACTGGTTATTCATGATACTTAACTTCAGAAGAGGATAATGGAGGTGATTCCAGATCACAGTGCCAACTGTCTTCTACCCATTATTCAAAGTCTGGTTATACCTGGTAGTATTATCCACACCAATGAATGGGCTGGATGTAACCACACATTAGATTTGGGATAAATTCATCATCGAGTTAACAATCCTGATGATTTCGTCGACCTCATAACTGGCGCTCATGCCAATTAAATAGAGGGCTTCTGGGATAGATTGGAAAACAGGATAAGGGCAATAAACGGCTCATAAAACGAACCTATTTTCCGTCACCTTGATGAATATATGTATAGAAATAGGTTCATTTTAAAAACTAACACTCTTTCATTATAACTGGGACGAATCTTTAAGTCATGTCAGAGGAAGATAACCTCTTTAATGTGTTTTTATGCGTTTTCTTGTAAATAAACGTCATTTTTGTATAAAATTCACTTACTTCTATAACTGGTTGTCTCAAAGTTACTCATGCCTCCGCATCCTATGGGCTGTGATACTTTAACTTTGCCAAGGAACAAAATAATATTGACTAATTCAGTGTATGTATTGAATAGTTCTATCTTTTTGAGTTTTATGTGTTTTGTCAATCATATCTGTATTATTACTAGTTATCTGTCTAGAAAATGCAGAATGCAGCTTACCTTCCGTGTTACTCATCCATACTCTAGTGAAAATTAAAAACACTCAATAGTGTGTTTTATTTCCTTCCATTTGTCGTATCATGCATAAATTTTTTTTTAAATTTAGAAATGGCGTATTGAGAGATGTTCCAGTATTAAGTAATAGAAATATAAGTAGAAGGAAAATCTTATCGTTAACACCCGTCTGTTCTTTGTTTATTTCTATTTCTATCAGTCTGAACATGAAAACTGATGTTGTACTTCAGTGATACCGTCAAACACTTATTTTTAATCAATATATATATTAATACTAATTTGCATACATAAAGAAGTACAACTTCTACTTCTTTCTTTTTTTTTTCTAATAGACTAGTCATCATGTGTAAGCAACACCTGAGATACACATAAAACTTATTAACAATCTTCTTAATAAGTTGAGATGATGAATCATATTCTATCTTCTAATAAGATGCTTTTATACATTAGGGAAGAGAGAATAGCAAACAAGTGGTGTGATTATTTATTATACTTCGCAAACTGACATTTTACACTAAAATTCATAAGAAGATATTAACTATGAGATCTAAAGTCGATGCGGGTAGCTGTTAGGTGGTATATATGTATGTTTGTGAATTTGTTTTATGCGTGCAACATTTATTATTCTGAAAAGGTTGAAAAAATTCTGAAACTTCACTAGATCTCCGTCAGTAGTTCTGCATCATATCGATTTGCAAATGATAATTAACTAACTGATACTTGGGTTTCTTCTTTTTCGAGTTACACCACGGATTGATGATATCAATTAGAGAACCATTGGAAATCAGGGAGTACTGGACAGCTGTTGATTCCCAAACTAGGATTAAACAGCTGTCCAGTACTCTCGGATGGTTTTCAGTGGTTCTCTAACTGATATCAATGCGTGGTCAAACTTCAAAACAAATCTGATCCTTACAAACCGAACTCTTGAAAATTAGTCTGATGCTCGCTAGAGATTGGATACAGGACGGAGTTGTCTGGAGTTCTGATGGAAAGTCGTGATCAGTGAGGTCCATTCAGTTGGGAGTGAGGATGGATTTCCCGCCGATGACAGTGGATAGTGGTCACGCTAAATTGGTAGAAGTTAGAATTCATGGGATGGCCATTAAATCGGCTCCGGGTGGCTGAATGGTATACGAGCCAGCTTGCCTTGTAATCGGAATGTTCTGGGTTCGAATCCCGTGAAGTGGGTGGGTGCTGATGATGAGTCCCAAACTAGGGTA